CTAAAATGTCCTTAACTTTAACATTTAATATTTAAAACATTAATTTAAACTTTCATACTCTATTAAAGTGTTTTCAAAATTGAAATGCCGCCCCTAGCTATGATCTTATGTTCTGTATCCTCTGTATCGTCGCTAGATCCTTCGTATCCTCTGTATCGTCGCTGGATCCTTCGTATCCTTTGTATCCTCTGGGTCGCGACCATATCCCGGATAGACGGAATCCGCTTTTTCCCCCTTGGTGTAACTCCGGAATTGAATCGGAAGGGATAAACGGAATTCCTGAAAGTAAATGGAATTGGTCGGCAGTGATTCCGAGAAATCCGGAATTGTGTGGGAAGTGATGAACGCAATTCCGGGAATTAGATGGGATTGGTTCCGTGAGCGGAACTGGCTCCGGAATGTTCAACATTGCGGAATAGGATGTATTCTCTATTTTTCAGTACGCTTGATCATTCCCGTTGAAAAATGAGCATTTTTGTGGTAAAACCCATGCGCGAATCCATGGGAAGGTCCTGCAAAATAGTCCCCTTCTCGTAACATATTCAGTAGACTGGGACTGACTGAGCCCTTCGGCAGAACTTCAAGTCCACGATTCCATAGTTTCTGCACCATGCATTTTAGTAGCTAGACGAGATTTAAACACTCTCTGAAAGATCATTGACCTTCCCCAACTGCCCACCCTCCAACCCGCAACCGCGGTTCGACCGTGGCGCTCCTTCTGGTTTTTCGGTTTGATCTTGGATATGTGGTTTTTAGTGATTCTCCGTCGGAATTAATCTTTTCCGTCTCATTTGTGTCCCATCTTCACTTACGAGATCCTCCTCTCTGTACGTCTCTGTTCAATGTGTCGGCTAACCTTTTGACAATTTGAGGATCGCTGTCCACGTATTCGTACGCGTGAGCCCTGCTAGTCTAGGTTTTAGCGAATCAATTCTCGATTCACATGACTTGTAATTTATAAGACTTTAGGACGAATATGTGAGGGGTACGAGCCGTAAAATGCAGAAACACCAGAAAAACCTTTCTAATTGGTCCGGATTATTGTTTGCAATTGATTCAAAGTAGTGCAAACTTTTCAAATGGTCGATTCTATACATTCACTTTTTATGCTTCCTAGAAAAAAAACACTTGAAGTTGTACTAAGGTAGTGAAAGTATATAGCAACGAAATTCCCCATGTGGATCTCACACATGTTTGTGAAGCAAATAGGGATTGTTAGTTTTAAGTCGAAGTTTTTGGCTCCCTCTCCCCTACCCCATCTTCAATTACAGATCTTAGCAACCTCCTCCCAAAAACCGTTATTGTAGAGGTTCAGAAATAAACAAGAGAGATCCATACTATGGTGATTTGCTGTCTTGGAAAAAAAACTATAGTCTAATAGAAAATGTTCACTTTAATTATTTTGCGTTAGTTAAATGAGTCTAAAGCGTTTATGTGAGTTTCATATTTTAGCCCCAAAGGAATTGTACAAACAAACTTTTGATGCGCAATATTTAACTTTTGGCCTAAACCTTGATAACGACATATTCTAATGAACAGTTTTTTTAAACACAATCTAAAAGGAGTGTTGAAGTATATACGGTAGAAATTTAGACACATATCCTCCGAACCCGACCCCCACCCCCTCCGCTTCCACAGGCCATCACAGACCACGTATAAAAGGATTCATACGCCATTACAGACTGTGGCAGAAAAGCCGTAAAGACTCACAGACGGTGGTGGACGGATTCCAGAAAAGGAGGTTCATCGTGTTTCACATTTTAATCCCGCAGAGATTGCGCTAACAGCTTCTTTATCTGAAGAAAAACTAAACTTCACAGTTGAAAAACTCAATGAGTATTCGTCTCATGAAGTTTGTACGATCATAAAAATTTTATTGAATCAACCAATAAATTTTATTGTTTTAGATCTTTTCTTAATTTATCAACCTTCTAAAATTCATAAAGGCTAACAAATGGCTGAATCCTCATATGAATCAACAATTGATGTATCTTTTGCTAATGATATGATAAAATCAATGGCAGATGAAATTTCAGAAATTTTAGATCTCGACGATAGTGAAAGTAAAGGTCAAATTGTTAATGATTTGTTCGAAAACGGTCGACAATCATTGGTTAAATATGAAGAAGATATTATATGCGAAAAATATAAAGATGTAATGAATGGCAGGGAGAACAAAATGATGTGTTTATTAAAAAAGTATTATCGACGAAAATGGGAGGAGCAGTATGGCAAATCTAATCCATGGTTTATTTCATTTATTGAACAATATCAGAATGGAGAAAATCATGATATCTATGAACGTGTTTTAACGCATGCAGCTGAATATGGAGATAAAAACACAGAAAATTGTCGAATATTATCGATTGTTTTGCAATTTCTATTTGAAACTATCGATGATGAATGTTGGACAAAAACAATACTCTTCGACGATCAATACTTAAAAGAACAGCCTACTTCCCATTTTCAATATTTGAGAGGAACTGAAAATTCTGATGATCAATTTTTAAAGGAAACCAGCATTTGCGATGGTCTATGGTATGCGATCACAAATGATGGTTTAAAATCAATTACAAAATATTCTGATTACATTGTTCCACTCATAATGCACGAGCAGTTGAATAAAAGTCAATCAGTATTATTTCAGGCATTACGTGAATATTATCGAACGCAACTATTTTCATTGTTGAAAGAAAATAAAATTCCAGATAGGCAACAATTGTATGACTTAGCATTAGATAATGTTGCTGAACATGGTTGGTTAACCGGCATACAAGTAATCCAGCAAAAAGTAGCGCCAAAGTATTACAAAAACTTATTGAAAAATTTAAATTCACTCTTACAAAAACGACAAGCGCAAGCCAATCAAACATTGGAACAACAAGAAGGCAATAAAGAACACAAAGCAGAAAGGGATAGCCTAAATCCGGAGAAACAAGAGCAAAAGAAATCAATAGATCAACAAGAACAAAATAAAAAAGAACAGGGACAAGTGGGAAACAAAAACCCAGAGAACACGTTGAAAAATAAAAGTGCGACGAAAAAAGAGAAAAACAAAACACAAAAAGCACAGAGTCAGAGCGAAGATCCTAACGAACAGGGCAAAATAAAAATAGTAGAGAAAGAAGGAGTAAACAAAGAATCAAACAGAGAAGAAGAAGAAGGCAAGGAACAAAAACAGCAAGCGACATCTAATTTGCAGGGTATTAATACTTGTTCGGAAAATAAGCATACTGAAGCAAATTTAACAGAAACAGCTGTAGCACGTAACCAACAGACAGGTAATCGATGTCTTTATTAATATTTTCCCTCTAAAACTTGTCTGTCCGAATTTTTAACTTCAGAGTTGAAAAAATAATTTTCTAGAAAATAAGGATAACTAAATCTCCAGTTTTACTAGTGAATCTCTACTTCGGATTCTCCTACTTATCCTTCAGGATGAGCGGGTGGGTGTTCATTTTAATTTCTTCTACGCCCTATTCCGCATGTACAGTTTGAAAGCTGAATAAATGCTAATACTTTTCATTTTTCTATAGATAAAGAAGGGAAACCTAATAAAACTACTAGTGAAGTCAAACCAGATGATATTATTCCAGAGACGCTACATGAAAAGAACAAAATATTTATCAGTGGTTTACCAAAGAAAATGCCCGAACAAGTTCTGTTTGATACACTTTGGGATGTATTTTCTACTGTTGGTAAAATTAAAGTAACTAAAAGAAAGTTCCTACGAAACGGGTTCTATATTAAATTCTTTCGTTTTTAGATTAACAGAATAACAGACAAACCATGGATAAATTTACTAAGACAAAAAGATAACAAATCTGAACTTTCTGGTATGGCATTCGTCACGTTCGAAGAAGAAGAATCAGTGATCGAAGCAATTAAAAAATATAATAGTGAGCTTAAGCAAACTTTCATGAAACCTAGAAGAATATAGTTAT